CTTCCGGCAGTATTCCGCCACCTGAAAGGCTGCGCGCGGTTCTTGTTTCTGTTATGGTTTGTGGGCTTGTTGGGTTTGTTGGTTTTGCTGGGTTTGTGGGGTTTATTATGGTTTGTGGGTTTGTGGGCTTGTTGGGTTTGCTGGGTTTGTGGGTTTGTTGGGTTTGTTTGCTGTGTTTGTTGTCGTGAAGCTTCTTTTGTGTTCAGCTCCATGTTGGCTTACGGGGGGGGATGTTGTGCTGGTTGTGTTTGCCTTGCAACAGTGTTTTTGTTCAGCCCAGCCCTACGTTTACGAGCTCGGGCACTTCAAATGCTAAGAACGGGTGAAACAAAGAACGAACTGAGTGATCAACACAGGGTGACAAACGGGGGTCTGAAAAGAGGCCAAAACCTATCATATTCTTGTAGTTTCTTTGAGGGCAAACCATCAAACGTGTGTAGTTTGGCATCTAGAAAGCCCATACCTTGACAAGGAATCCTGGTCCCACACGTTTGTCAAAGAGTTTCAAAGGAGTACTGCATAAAGGGTGCCCTTCATGACAAATGGCTAAGCCATGGCTTGCAATGTGGAAGCGGACACCTTAGGTCGTAAAGGGGCACCCTTGACCCTTTCTTCTTCTTCGTCTTCGTCTTTTTTTTGTCTGGGGAAGGGCAGGGATTGGGGATCGGGAATCTGAGTTTCCAGGGTAGCCTTTAAAGGCAAGGCATACGCTCATCTGCACCGCAACCAAATGTTTCCGAGACACAAATGCCGTTGATTCCCAGCATGGTGTGCTTTATTGCGAGTCTACCCATCAATTTGTTCTTTTTTGCTGGGGGCGGGGGAGCGACAGAATAAAACAACACTTGCGGATTAGGACATTACTGCGACATGACAATGCCGCAACCAAAGCCCCGGCTTGCCATGAAACGCAACAAACAGACTTGTTGCGGTGCTTATGCAGGTAAGGGTCCAAATAAGCTTTGCTATGCTTTGCTGGTCCGAATAAAGCGTTTAGTATCTAGGGCCCTGAAGCATGCGGCCACTGCATCATCGAATGTCTGCCTCTTCTTTGCTCTAAAGCCCTGAAAATGTCGACCTCGCATTTCAGGAGAACCTGGCAGACTCCTCCAACAGTAATCCGCCCCGCCCCACTCGAAAAATGGGTTGCAGCCCCCTAAGCAAGCGGGGGGGCTTAGGAATCCTGGGCCGTACTTCCGAAACCTAGGATCCCCCTGATGATCAACCAGGGGTTGACGAATTCCACGAGGCATGCTGGTTGTTGCTTTCGTGCAGGGGACGCAAATGCACCCAATCCGTCAACACACATGTAAGGCGGCCTTTCTTAATGCTCGGGACTCGGGAATCCAAGACTTTTCAGGCTGGCTTGGTGTTAGTTGGCTCATTCATCCATCAAAAACCTGGGGCTTCTACTGAGTCGCCAACCGAAAACAAGGAATGGACCATCCCCCCCAAAAAGAAGACTTTAAGTTGGCGTTGCTCCCTGATCTGAGCTTCTGAGTCACCAACCGAAAACTTTGGACATTGGACTGGACTCGTCCACTCGGGGCTGCGCACCCGCTCCGCGCCGGAGGCGAGCTTTGTCTCGCGCACCAGCTGGAAGGCCTGCGAGAAAACAAATCCAAAACGTGGCAGCTCAAAGACAAAGCCCTGGGGTCAGTTACCGGTTGGGTTCCTATAACAACCATGGTTTACCTATATAAGGGTTGTCATCACCCAGATTGGGTCAACCATTCTTTTAATGGGGGTTGAACACCAAAGAAAGGCTTCCAACGTGGAACCCCGAACAAAAACAAGAACATGCAGTTGCAAGATTGGGAGAGTGCGTCAGGCTTTTTTGTGCATACTGGGTGGGGGAATTGTGGTGTCCTTGTTGATTCCCTATAAAACGAAAGGGGTGACACATACCCATGGTTGCGGGGCATAGCCATTTTGGTGATAGCAAAGTGCGCCATTCCTATGATTACTTTGCTACCTGGACTCCCTTTAACAACCATGGACAACACCCACAAACACCAAGCCGCCCAAAAAGCCCGAGGGTGAGATTTCTTGGAGCTTGGGTGAGTGACAAGGTTCATAGGGTTCAACCCCAACCCCTGGTTTCCCAAACAACGCCCTTCGATCTACTTTAGAAGATTGAATCGATCCTGAGAGACTGCTTCACAATCTGATCATTTCCAGAATCCTGTTTCAAGAATCGTCATTTTTGCTTATAGACAACACTTTCTCTAAGCACGACACGAATTCACTCGACAGGTCCCGGTGTGGCCAGGGATCGAATGGGGAAGCTCGGTTGACTGTGCGGTATTCCTCATACTGGGGATGGTTGAGTTCCGCTAGGATCGTTTTTTGTTCTTTTCCGCTACAACGAACTCGCAGGGCTGAAACGAGCTTCATTCAAGGTCTCAAACGTTTAACTTACAGGACAATCGTAGAATTTCCTTCTTTACCCAACCCGTTGAAGGTCCGTGTGACTGTGAGGTCCGCCAATGTGTGCCCCTGCACAGGAAGGACTGCCCACCCCTCCGTGCTGTTGTAAATGGAGGCTTGGGCAATACTAATCCAGCTGCACATGTTTTGTCTCTCGATGGGATCGCAACATGCGTGCATTCTCTTCGAATTTCCCTTAAACAACCAACCCCCTGGAACTGTTTGCGAAAAAGCACTTGCAGTGTTGAGCTGCAAGAGCCCGAACACCTCTTTAAGACTTTAAAGAAACCCTTCCGGGCTTCATTGAACCATATCCAACCGTCGTGTAAAAAGGCCTTCAAACGTAAGCCTTGAAGGAGGCTCCTGCGCAAATCGTCTAAATACAGTAAGCCTGCATTGATTCACACCGCGCCGGTAGTGCGCATCACGCACGCGCAAGCTTTTTGAATAGATGCTGTCGCTCAGACGTACTCTGGGTAGAGCGAGAAGACCTCAATGCGTCGATTCATGGATGCAGTTGCAATCTGATGCAACAAATTAGCATGACAATCCCACTTCGCGCTCAGTTCAACACACTTAGTTCATCGCAAGTGTTCCGTTTCTCTCTCTCTCTCTCTCTCTCTCTTTGTCTCTCTCCCTCCCTCTCTTTGTTTCTCCCTCTGCAGGTTTGTCAAACAATTTGCAAACATGCAGCGGTATGTTGTAAGCCCATTGACAGATCACTAGAGACGTGCTCCGCAAAACCTAGATGTCGATTCCTGTCAAGGAGCCACTGGTTTGGCGACTGAGACAAGCCTTGCGCGGTCTTGCTGTCGACGCATGGCTTCTTTCAAATGTCAGGTCGGAGATGTCCATTCGCTGAATGGAAACTGGGGGAGTCCTTTTCAGTAGGTGCAAGCTCCAGGCTGTTAGGAAACTCCGGGGTCGGATTTTTTGGGTTGGGTTTCCTTTCTGAACATCAACGCAAAATGAAGAAATCACCGGGACGAGGGGGGTGATGGGCCTGTAGGACAGGAAGGGGGGGAGGCTGGCTTGTCCCTGGCTGACGTCGCCTGAATGGGTAAAATCCGTTATAGAGGGGTCCATGACGGGCTCCTAGGTAGCCCCAAGCAAAAGATGGTGTTTGACCATGGTACATTTGAGTCATAATAAAAACCTTGTTTTAAACAAGTCTACCCAACACAATGCAAGGGAATCAACGGGCTTTTTGCTGTTCGCGACCACGCACTCTTCAATCTGAGCTGAGATCTCCGGCATCACGTTGCGCGAGAAAATCCTTGACCTCGTCCAACATCTTCCTCAGTACCCGTCATGAGCAATTGTCCTGGAAAACGACAACATGGCAATGGGCAAACGCTTGGAAGGCAAGTGGGCGCAACAAAAATGGTTCCAGCGTGGATTGAATAGCGGTTCAATGATGATTCAGTCGTTCAACGGCAGTTCGCTTTCTCAATCTGAGCAGCAGACAGTTTCCTAGGTTCCACCATTAGTAGGTGAGCACTTGGCCGCCGTCGGGCTATGCGTGTTCGGGCATTGCTTATTTCGGGGCACCCCACAAACCTCCCAGAAGACTTCTTGCGGCCACCAGGCAAATAAGGCAAACTAATACCAAGTAAGGACATGGTTGGGTTTTTTGGGGGTTGTTGGGCGATTGTATCTGCCATCTTTGGGCCTGATTCTGGAAGATCCCAAGGTGCTCCGCAACCCCCGGTAGGGTAGAAAACTGGTTCATGGTAAGAAAACCAAAGGCAATGACATCCTTTGAGGCTCCGGGCAACTTGTATGTCACAAGGGCGCCCTAGGGTGCCCTTCAACTATCAATTTTCAGCTGGCCAGGAAGGATGAGAACGACCCTGCAAGTCGGATCCATTTATGGTTGGAAGGGGGGGTCATTTCCATATTCGGTACTGAGAACATGAAACATTGCATTACTTTTTGAGGGTCTCCACAGCGGGGTGGCACATTGACCCACTTTGCCCCCCCCCCGAAAGTACATCGCCAAGTAGCTAGCGACCCTTCAGGGTTTAGTGACACAAGCAAACCACGGGTCAAAGGCATCTTGCAAGTTTGACATGGGTTTCACTCCCAATCGTGGAGCACCTCCCCCCAAATGGACTTCCCTGTGCAATCCAAGGGACCCAGTGCTCCAGTGGCAATTTGAAAAAAAACAAGATATTTGCTTGAGTGATTTTGTGTCTTTAAAGGGGTGGCGTCCTCTGGAAAAAAGGTGAACAAAAGGAACCAGATCTGAACATTTTGGGAAGGGTTGACGCGTTGGGAACCTCCGAACAAGGCCTTAACAAGGCCTATGCAAGGGCCTTACTACAAGGCCTTATTTAGAGGAACCAAGGCCAAGGGGAAGGCAGGGCCGGAAGGGGGGTTGGATCCTATGAAATGTTTGAGGTCCCCCACTTAGCACCATTCCACAGCTGGAGTCCCGTTCTGGTCTATTGTTCTTGCAAACCGCCTATTCCCCGGCCAGCATCCCACAACACCTGTTTTTTCCTCATTCATTGACTCATGTCCAAAACTGTTGGTGCGTTCTTTTTCTCAAGAAGGACCCCTGGAATGGAGAAGCTACCAGAATGATCCCCCAAGTCCACCATCCATAATACATAGTAGGCAGTGGGCTCTTAAAGATTCTGGCTTTACTTACATCTATATATATATATATATATGTATGTATATATATATATATATATATCTGTTTCTGTGTATATATATATGATATGTATATATATATATCACATCCAGGTCCCGTGTGTCAGTCCCGTTTCGACTCCCTCCTTAAGGTCCGGAAAAAAAACAAAAACAAAAACAACAACATCCCTCCAGCGCGCGCCAAGAAGCTGCGTCTGTGGGTTCGGCCGGGCCTTCATTGCCTTCAGAAAGCACCTGCATGGCTCTCAGGGTCCGAACAGGAGCAAGCCCAAGGGTCAAAACAAACATGTTTCTGTTTTTATTCAACCAAAAAAGAAGAAAAAAACGGTCCAGAAGGAAACCTCCAGAAACCGACGCACATTCCATTAATGCCTGTGTTGTTTGGCTTTGAGGTTTGGAACGCCCCCCCATTTTCTGGGGGAAGCGCCAGGCAGTTAGATTTCGGGCTGCTCGAAGGGCGGTGTGCGATATGTGTTGTCTTTTGGGAACCAGCAAACAGCGGGGGCAGTGAGGTGCTTCCAGCAAAACGGGTCCTTTCACGAAGGGAAAGATAAAACATAAACTCATTTCAGCTTCTGCGAGATCCGTCGCTCCCCGAAGAAGAAATCCTTTCGCGAGTTTCTATGACTTATGCTTATGCCATCTTATGCCCCCCCAAAACACATACTGTATGAATCACATGAAACATGAATCTAGGCACAACCTAAACACATGCAGCAAGTGCGGTGAAGTACAATACGCAACGATTTCACGGATGTGAGTTGAAGGGGACTCCTTTCCGCTCAAGGTCTGCAACTCCTGCGGTTTCCCGTGAAAGTTTCCCGAAAGCAGCCACATGAGGACAGGGTCCTTTTTGCTTGGAGACCTATCAATGCGGCCTCGTTCAGAATATGCGTTTCCCATAAAAGACATGCAGAAATAGGTGAGTCCCCCTGATTTGAGTGGGACATTTCCAGAGTCCCACCATGTCCAGCCAAGTTAGTAGAGAATTTGCCACGGTCGTAGTTTGGGTAACTGGGGTCAGTGCCCTTATAACCATGGTTGTAACCTACATACTAAGTGGGTCGAACATCCAAGTAACTAACGCGCCCCTGATCACCTGACCAGAGGCAATGTGTAGACATGGCTTGCGCATCCATTCAAGCAAACACAATGCAACACTAATACTACTCGACACCACCACCCAACAGAGAACTCACATCGATGAGCGTACCGCCTTGATGTTCAAGCTTGGCAAAATGCACGAACTACAATGGGTAGCAAACAAAACAAGGCGTACAACTAGACTGACCCTCCGAAGATGGAGACCGTGCACCCAGACTTACGGGGTAATGACCACATTGTTTGGGGCTTTGGGGCTCTGGCAAACCCAGTAAGGGCGATGTGGCAAATTGCAGTTTTGCCATGCACCAGAATTTGATCAGCACTGGCACAACTGTTTCATCATTGATCATGGCTCAAACATGCTCAGTCTGCATCCCTGCTGTTAACAAACACATGAGGCACGGTCACAATAAATTCTATCCCATCATCACCAACTGCATTGGATACTGGAATAGAAACCTGTTTTTTCTCACTGCAATTTGCAGCTCAATGTGCCATGTGGCTCCGTTGCTGCGACAACTGACGGTGCATATTGGCCAATACTCTCTGAAGTCCCCCCAAAAGGATATTTTTTTGTTCTTCCATGTTGATCTACAAGGGAGTCAGTACTGTATCGGGAAAGGCATTTGCTCAAACAGTTCAGAGCTCGGACGGCCTTGTTACGGGCACTGAATAGAAGGCAAACCCAACTTGCACAGCTTTCAAACACACGAGAAACCAAACACAAACAACCCTGCAACAACCCCCCCCCCACCCGCCCGCCCGTAAGAGGGAAGATCATACCCTATGTGTCGTTCAGGCTGGTTCCAGCTTTGAGTCAATTGTTGGAGTGAAATTCTAGTTGTTGCATATTTGGAGCTGGTAACTATTGGAATTCGATTCCAATAATTGCAATAATTGCAATATTCGGAGGTCCCGGAATTTGCAATTATTGCAATTATTGGAATTCAATTCCAATAATTGCAATAATTGCAATATTCGCAGATCCCGGCTTTTGCAATTATTGGAATTAGTCGGCCCGGCTTTGAGGCCAAATCTGGGATCAATTAATTATTGCAATTATTGCAATAATTGCAATAATTGCAATATTCGGAGGTCCCGGATTTTGCAAATATTGCAATTATTGGAGTTCAATTCCAATAATTGCAATAATTGCAATATTCGGAGGCCCCGCATTTTGCAATCATTGCAGATATTGGAATTCAATTCCAATACTTGCAATAATTGCAACATTCGGAGGTCCCGGATTTTGCAATTTTTGCAATTATTGGAATTTAATTCCAATACTTGCAATAATTGCAATATTCGGAGGTCCCGGATTTTGCAATTATTGCAATTATTGAGATTCAATTCCAATAATTGCAATAACTGCAATATTCGGAGGTCCCGGATTTTGCAATTATTGCAATTATTGGAATTAGTCGGCCCGGCTTTGAGGCCAAACTTGGGATCAATTAAATATTGCAATTATTGCAGTTATGGCAATTATTGGAGTTCAATTCCAATAATTGCAATAATTGCAAAATGTTCAGGTCCCGGATTTTGCAATTTTTGCAATTATTGGAATTCAATTCCAATAATTGCAATAATTGCAATATTTGGAGGTCCCGGTTTTTGCAATTATTGCAATTATTGGAATTCAATTCCAATAGTAGCAATAATTGCAATATTCGGAGGTCCCGGATTTTGCAAATATTGCAATTATTGGAGTTCAATTCCAATAATTGCAATAATTGCAATATTCGGAGGTCCCGGATTTTGCAAATATTGCAATTATTGGAGTTCAATTCCAATAATTGCAATAATTGCAATATTCGGAGGCCCCGCATTTTGCAATCATTGCAGATATTGGAATTCAATTCCAATACTTGCAATAATTGCAACATTCGGAGGTCCCGGATTTTGCAATTTTTGCAATTATTGGAATTCAATTCCAATAATTGCAATAATTGCAATATTTGGAGGTCCCGGTTTTTGCAATTATTGCAATTATTGGAATTCAATTCCAATAGTAGCAATAATTGAATATTCGGAGGTCCCGGATTTTGCAATCATTGCAATTATTGGAATTCAATTCCAATAATTGCAATAACTGCAATATTTTCAGGTCCCGGATTTTGCAAATATTTCAATTATTGGAATTAGTCGGCCCGGCTTTGAGGCCAAATCCGGGATCAATTAATTATTACAATATTTGGACTTCCCGAAAAGTCACCCGTCCCTTTGGGAAGAATGGTAGGAATGAAATAGAAGAGTTATGATAAGTAGAATAATTTACAAAAACAACCAGCAAACCTGAATATTGAATTCCCCGGAGTCATCCCTTTGGAATTCGTGAGAAAACTAGTTGGAAGAGGTATGCTAAGTACAATAGTTTGCAAAACACAATCTTCAATTCCCCAAAGGCGCCCGTCTCTTTGGGAATAACAATTATAGCTAGAAGACTGATGATAAGTAGAACAATTAGCACAAATGACTCTTGAACTCCCAAAAAGGCACCCGTCCCTTTGGGAGTGGTTCAAAAACTTAGAGCAAGTCTAAGAAATAAGATGATTAGAACAAACAATATTTGGAATTCCCCAAAAGACACCCGTCCCTTTGGGAAGAATGATACGAACGAAGTAGAAGAGTTATGATAAGTAGACAATTTGCAAATTCAACCAGAAAACATGAACATTGAATTCCCCAAGGTCACCCGTCCGTTTAGAACTCATGAAAAAGAGTTAGAAGATGTATGCTAAGTAGCATAATTTGCAAAGACAATCTTCAATTCCCCAAAGGCACCGTCCCTTGGGCACCCGTCCCTTTGGGAGTGGTTCAAATACTTAGAGCAAGTCTAAGAAATACAATCCTTAGAGCAAACAATATTTGGACTTCCCCAACAATCACCCGTCGCTTTGGGAAGAATGATAAGAATGAATTAGAAGAGTTATGATAAGTATAATAATTTACAAAAACAACCAGCAAACAGAAGTATTGAATTCCCCAAAGTCATCCCCTTGGAACTCATGAGAAGACTAGTTGGAAGATGTATGATAAGTAGCATAATTGCAAAAACAATCTTCAATTCCCCAAAGGCACCCGTCCCTTTGGGAATAAGAATTATAATTAGAAGACTGATGCAGAGGACTCTTGACGTCCCAAAAAGGCACCCGTCCCTTTGGCAGTGGTTCGAATACTGAGGGCAAGTCTAAGAAATAAAATGATTAGAACAATCATGAATTGGGACTTCCCCAAAAGACACCCTTCCCTTTGGGAAGAATGATAAGAACGAATTAGAAGAGTTATGATAAGTAGAATAGTTTACAAAAAACAACCAGCAAACATGAATTGTGAATTTATTCAAAGCCACCCGTCCATTTGGAACTCATGAAAAAAGTTAGAAGATGTATGCTAAGTAGTATCATTTGCAAAGCCAATCTTCAATTCACCGTCCCTTTGTGAAAAATAATTATAAATAGAAGACTGATGATACGTAGAACAATCAGCACAGAGGACGCTTGAATTTCCAAGAAGGCACCCGTCCCTTTGGGAGTGGTTCAAATACTTAGAGCAAGTCTAAGAAATAACATGATTAGAACAAAACATGAATTTGGAGTTCCCCAAAAGTCACCCGTCCCTTTGGGAAGAATGATAAGAATGAACTAGAAGAGTTATGATAAGTAGAATAATTTACAAAAACAACCAGCAAACATGAGTATTGAATTCCCCAAAGTCATCCCCTTGGAACTCATGAGAAAACTAGTTGGAAGAGGTATGCTAAGTAGTATAATTTGCAAAACCAATCTTCAATTCCCCAAAGGCACGCGTCCCTTTGGAATGATGATAAGTAGAACAATTAGCACAGAGGAGTCTTGAATTCCCAAAAAGGCACACGTCCCTCTGGGAGTGGTTCGAATACTTAGTAAGAAATAAACTGATTAGAACAAACATGAATTTGGAGTTCCCCAAAAGTCACCCGTCCCTTTGGGAAGAATGATAAGAATGAATTAGAAGAGTTATGATAAGTAGAATAATTTACAAAAACAACCAGCAAACATGAATATTGAGTTCCCCAAAGTCACCCGTCCCTTTGGAAGTCATGAAAAAAGTTTGAAGATGAATGCTAAGTAGTATAATTTGCAAAACCAATCTTCAATTCCCGGAATAACAATTCTGATTAGAAGACTGATGAGAAGTAGAACAATTAGCACAGAGGACTCTTGAATTCCCAAAAAGGCACCCGTCCCTTTGGCAGTGGTTCGAATACTTAGAGCAAGTCTAAGAAATAAAATGCTGAGAGCAACAAATATTTGGAATTCCCCAAAAGTCACCCGTCCCTTTGGGAAGAATGATAAGAATTAATTAGAAGACTGATGATAAGTAGAATCATTAGCAAACAGGACTTAGTTGTGCACCTGTGGCCTTTGTCAGTCTCCTGACATCGAACCTAGCTGCACGCCTGTGCCTGTGTTTGGCCACGGGAAATATTACTTAGCTGCGTGCTTGCAATTCCTTTGCTGGTCATGAAATTGAAATTGAAACATACACGAGAAAGAACACACATGTTTGAACCAAGTGTCTGTTTATTCAACAGTATCCTTGTGCATGGTAAGTGCATATTATCTCTGTAGCACCATGTGGGGATAGAGTTTTGGTGTGCGTGTGAGTGCATGAACATGTAACATGAAGAGGTGCTCAAATGCAAAAAAATGCGCGGCGACGCATAGGACTCATTCTTCCCTGCGACCCCCCCCCGCCCCCCCCCCTTCCGAGTCAAGGCCTCACTTGGCTTTGTGCTTCATACGCCCAACGGTGTCTTTTGCTTTTGGCGGTGTGCGGTTCCCCTGGGACAGCAACCAACATTGGCACAGCTCTTACCTTAGCTTCTGAAGGTCTCTGGGATTCCTTGGTCCTACCAACCGACATCCAAGTTGCAAATCCCTTAGGGCACCACCCAAACCGAAACGGGAATATGTCTCGGTGCTCAATGCGTAACACCCAGTGAAAAGGTTGTCCCTCTTACCAAACACCAAGGCCCCACGGGTTCAGAAAATGATGGACCCCTTTTTCAAACCTCCAAAGACCTGGGCCAACAGGACAACGGGTCTCAGTTGGCCGCTCGGTTGTCGTCAATACGTCCAAGCAAAGAGACGCCTTCAGACTGCACACAACCGCATCATTCGGCAAATCGTACAAAAAAACAAAGCCTAACATACATGACATTAATAGGATACCTCCGAGCACTTGAAGGACTTGTTCCCCACCAGGAAACCAGGTGAGCTCGCCAGAATTTGGACACCCCGCCTGCCAGCATCCTTCATGATCTCATTGTTATCCTCCTTCATTACCCACATCGCCTCACCGGCTGCATATTTTTCCGAAGCGGCGCCATGACAACGGCGCAAGCCTACAAGTCGCTTTGAAACCTGCTGGTTTACTTGTTTGTTTCTTCGTTTGTTTGCTTGATTGTTTGACTATCGTTGCTTGTGTGATTAGTTAGTTAGTTAGTTAGTTAGTTAGTTAGTTAGTTAGTTAGTTGGTTGGTTGGTTAGTTAGTTAGTTAGTTTGTTTGTTTGGTTGTTTATGTGGTTGTTTGTTGCTTGTGTGTTTGCTTGCTTGTTGGATTGTTTGCTTGTTTGATTGCTTGCTTGTTTGTTTGATTGTTTCTTTGTTTGCTTGCTTGCTTGCTTGTTTGTTTGTTTGTTTGCTTGCGTTTGTTTGTTTCTTTGTTGCTTGCTTGCTTGCTTGCTTGCTTGCTTGCTTGCCTGCTGTTTTGCTTGATTGCTTGTTTGTTTGATTGATTGATTCTTTGTTTGTTTGCTTGCTTGCTTGTTTGCTTGCGTGCCTGCTTGCTGTTTTGTGTGCTTGGTTAATTGGTTGGTTGTGTGTTTGTTTGTTTGTTTGCTTGTTTGATTGTTTGTGTGTTTGTTTGTTTGTTTGTTTGTTTGTTTGTTTGTTTGTTTGTTTGCCTGTTTTGCCTGTTTGTTTGATTTGTTTGTGTGTTTGCTTGTTCGCTTGTTCGCTTGTTTGCTTGTTTCCTTGTTTCCTTGTTTGCTTGTTTGTTTGGTTGTTTGGTTGTTTGTTTGTTTGTTTGCTTGCTTGTTTGTTTGCTTGTTTGTTTGTTTGTTTGTTTGTTTGTTTGTTTGTTTGTTTGTTTGTTTGTTTGTAAGTGTGTTTGTCTGTCTTGTCTGTCTTGTCTGTCTTGTCTGTCTTGTCTGTCTTGTCTGTCTTGTCTGTCTTGTCTGTCTTGTCTGTCTTGTCTGTCTTGTCTGTCTTGTCTGTCTTGTCTGTCTTGTCTGTCTTGTCTGTCTTGTCTGTTTGTCTGTCTGTCTGTCTGTCTCTGTCTGTCTGAATGTCTGAATGTCTGTCTGTCTGTCTGTCTGTCTGTCTGCTTAATTGCTTGATTGCTCGCTTCCTTGTTTGATTGATTCCTTGAGGGATGGATGGATGGATGGATGGATGGATGGATGGAGGGAGGGAGGGAGGGAGGGAGGGATGGAGGGATGGAGGGATCGAGGGATGGAGGGATGGATGGGTGGATGGATGGATGGATAGATGGATGAACGGCTGGATGGATGCATGAATGGATGGATGCATCGATGGATGGATGCATACTTGGATGAACGCATAGATGGATGGATGCATAAATGAACGGATGGATGGATGGATTCCTGGCTGGCTGGCTTGCTCGAACCGCTGTTGTCTGTATGTGACGTTGTTTAGATGTTGTTTGGCTGTTGTGTGATTGTCCGTGTGCGTTTGTGAATATGTATGTACATATATATATATATGTGTGTGCTTGTGTTTGCGTGCTTGTTCATGGTCTATGATTCAGACAACTTCATGCACTGTGCGTACAAGGTACCAACAGCAACTGGAAATGCCCACATGTTAGAACGTAACCAGTGGAAACATAGGTTGTCGCATGTTATTTGCCAAGTGTTTCTCCATTGCACAGAACAAACAAACGCACATACAATGCTTAAAGACACGTTCCAACATTAACAAACACACACACACGCACACAGACATAACAAACACCCAAGCTGCGTTTTTGAATGGCGGCTCAGCTAGGTGCAGGTTCCCTTGCAAACATCTGCGCTCATTGAAATTTCACCAACCATTGAGAAGTCCTGAGAAAACTTCATGGGTGAGCCCAGTTCAACCCCCGAAACACATATTCAGGTGTTGGTGTGCCAGAAACACCAAGGAACAACAAAGTGGGGCAAACCAAAACTTGCGAAAACCCTCCAAGTGTTGCAAAATCGCCAGGGAAAGAAAAAACAGCCGACATGTGAACCTGCCTTTTCCTGTTATCAAACTGAAGGAAGCCACTGCCCGACCGAGCAACAAAAAATACGAGCCGGTGGCCTCAACTCGAGCCGACCTGGCCGGCCGGGGCTGAGCGGTGTCCCGTTCTGGTGGTGTTCCCCGATTTGAAGGGAACCCCTACATTTTTTTGGGGAGTGTAACTTGCCAGCTCGGAAGTTGCCCAAACGACCCAAGGAATGATTCATTGGCATCATCCCCAACAGATCTGTGATCCTAGGGGATCCTAGAGATTCTATCAGACCTCATTGCAGGTCTGTGGATTTTGGTGGCGGCGTGCCTTTGTTTTTCTTGCCAAGCAGCTTCTGAGAGTTTTGGTTTTGGGGGTGCACACGTTCTGGGGTGGTTTTAGAGGGCCAATTGCTCGTGTCTGTGCTGCTTTCGCGAATGAGAGAAATTAGGATACAGGACACGCACGCGGACAAACCGGCCGAAGTTGATCGAAACAAAAATGACATGCATACGGCATGTGTATGTCTTTGTATGTTGAATACACGTTGGCAAAGCATTCTCATTTGTGGTGCCCATGGGCAAGTTTCTGATGAATGGACACATGTCAGTTTATCCTCCTAGCATCCGTTTACAGCTTCGCTCCGAATTCCTTTCCAATGGTTGTCATTGCTGCAGAGTCGTACTGCTTCTCGTGGGTGAATCAAACATCAACTTTTGGACCAATGACTGAGCTTCCTGCTTGAAGACGAGAGCAGCTCGGTAATGATATTCAAAGCCGGGTCGTTGGAAGAGACGACGCGCGAGGGGAATGTAAGTCCCAATCTGGCCATAGCGATTTGGGCCGGGCAAGCGGTCTTTGCGGAAAGGATCTGGACGGTCCCTGTGACATCATGCTGCACCAGTTGAGATCAACACCTAATCTTGGGATAAGCTTGGATAAGCCGCCCACCCTGTCTGGTGGATTCTGTCTGTCAGACGCCCTATGAAACCCTGCGATTTTTGCGGGCGATTTGCTGGCGCCAAGTGGCTCGGCGGTCATCTTCCGCGCCAGGCCCAGGCGGAACAAGCTGCGGTCGTCGCACCACACCTTGAGGCACTTAGTTCAAAAAAAGGCAAGGGACGTGTGTCTCGTTTGCGGGAATTGCTAGCCTTAACTTGATCTTTGAGCATGACTTCAATTGGGTTTATGAGGGTACCCCGCAACCCATTATTTCAAGTCTTAAAGCTCGACGCTTTTTTTAAAGCTCGACGCTTTTCTGGCCTGGTTTTCACAAGGGACCCCGGGTCTCGTTGCCAGGGTTCAACTTGACCCCACCAGCTTCAGGTGTTTTAGCGTTGCAAGTGACCGTATTGTTTTGGGGGGAGATCAAATGGAGGGCTTGCATCCACATTTTAGCATGGGGGGCCGCACGAGGTAGGGGCGCTGCGAACCAAGTCTGACATTCGCTCTGCCCGAAGCAAAAACATCGCGTGAGATCTGAGACCATGACTCTCATGTGTCATGGTCCAAACCTCAAGGGCCAAGTTCTTCCAGCAGCTCCCGTGGCATAGATGGCTCGATCCACTGGTAGGTGAGCTGGGCCCTGGCCTTGGCTTCTATTTTGCTGATGTGGGAGAGCTCCTTCTGCATGTGCCTTGCAATCCATTTCAGCAGCTTCTCAGCCATGGCCCGGATCCGACTGCACATCTATGGCTGTCCCATCCAGAAAAAAATAATTACATAAATAAATAAACGGAGTACGGCCCCCCAGGTACTTAACAAAAGGGGTACCTGTCTCAAACTATCTGAAAATTCCCTTGGATACCCCATGAAAACCCCATTGGGTGCAAGGTGTCACCCACAGCACCCTCACTTCCAAACCAAACCGATTGGTTGTAGATACCAGCTATGGCCGGTTCCTCCAAAACCTTTAGCAAAGCCCAAAGGGAGACACACAGCAACTGGAACCTGAGTTCCTCGACAGCCTCTAACCCAACCCTTTGACCCTTGCACTAGCCGGAGCTTAGGACAACCTGAGTTTTGTCTCAAAGTAGAAGCACCCCCAAGACCAAATCGCGGTTTCCATTGTTTGGTTGTACTTTCACAAGAAGGTCTCCTGAAACAGAGGACTTAGGGAGAAGCCACCCCTCACTTGGCTAGCGCGGTTCTGATCACAGCAACCCAAGCCGAACATTTTCCTCAAGCTGGGCCCCCAGTGAGCTGGGCAGGGGCCCCGGGCCAAGCATGCCTTCTCAGCACATTCCTCGGCCTGTAGAGCTTGAGCCCTCGTGAGTGGGACTCAAAGCCCATCTCGCAAGGTGGTTTCGCCAAACACACCCACTTGTTCAGTGATCCTGGTAGAACAAGTGAGCCCTTTAGAGCTGACCACTTTTTAGCGGAACCCGCCAAACTGAACACAGAACGGGAAACCGGGCGCCACTGAACCACTGGGCGTGAGAATCGGCTGTCAAAATCCATCGCCAGGTTTCAGGCCACGCGGCGCCCCGGGCCCAAGGGCCAAAGGCCAAAGGCCATGGATTTGCCGAATCTAGAAGAACACCAGCCCAAAACAAGGGGGTTGCGACATAGACCCGTGTCCATACGGGCACCCAAAGAGGTTGACTCATGGACCTTGGGGAGCCTGGCGGGTCCGACCAGGGGTTCTTTGATTGAGACTCTCAGGTGTTTCCGCTATGTTCTCAACCAAAAGGTGTCCAAAGGCAATCACTGAGGCAGTTGCAAACAAGTGTTTTTTCACGGTTTTAGGGTGTCACTCCAGTTGCAACCAAAAAGTTTGGTAAACAAAAGGATTGACCAACCTTAGATTCGGGACCCCCATAAAAAGGCACCTGCATCAGGGGGGCCCAAATTGGTCGCGAACCAAGCGATGTCTAATTTGCAGGTACAATCCACCTCTCCTTGCCCTACGCCCTCCCAAGCTTCTTGCTCTTCCCAATAAGGGCCCAACTTTCGGCCTCGTTCAACTGTGCTGCGGAGCCAAAAAAGAGATTGACACATGCATATCTCATGATCATGACTCAGTATGGTCTGAAAGTCCCCACAACCCCACTCCGATTATTTAGTGAGTAACGTGACACAGTATGTGTCAAGATCCGGGGACGGCCAAATCGCGCTTTCTTTCTGGCGTCCCTTTAAACCAAGGTGGAAAGGGTAGCCTCTAAAACAAACACCCACCCACCCACCCACCCACCCACCCACCCTCCCACCCGCCCGCCCGCCCGCCCGCCCGCCCGCCAGCCCGCCCACCCACCCACCCACCCACCCACCCATCCACACACACATACACACGCATACACTTGACAGATTAAGACCCGCCAGTGGTGCCTGCTTCACCGCTTGCCGCTTGAAGTAGTCGAAATGCTCGGCCTCCTTGCCGCAAAGCTCGCGTATTGAAAGGACAGGGGTACAGGTGGGTTATATTATTATAGACCCGTAGTGTCCCAACTCGTTTTTCCCGGGGGTGGGGGTCCTAACAAATTGTTGTTCTTGTGGTGTTCTTGTTCCGTCACGATTAAGATTACCCTTGGGATTGAGGCTCCATTGGAGAGCCCTCGAAGGGGTCATGACGCTTAGGGGCAAGTTTGAAATATTTCCACTAACATCAATCTTTGTGCAAGGACTTTTCATTTGTTGAATCCAAACAGTGCGCCATTTCACTTGGGTAGTTTTGACCTGCTTGACATTGATTCTTGCAACTTAATCATCATGATGTCCCGACCAAGGGTTTCAGGGTTCTCTTTTTCCGCATTGAGGAGAACGGGCTGTTCTGCCAATCTATGAACAGAAGCTTCATCTGTTCACCGCACATCAAAAGGTGTCAAGCATAGTTTGGCCCTTTTTGGTATCCTTAAAATGCAGCACCAGGCATACGACACCAGGGCAACGCCAACAAAAGCGACCAACGAACAGAGCTGCGATACCCCCTGCTCCTCAAACTGCTTGGAGAAGGGCGTGCCATCTGGCAGAACGCCCTTGCCCTGGAAGCAAAGGGCGCGCGTCACATGCTTGTTCCATTGGAATCAATTTCGGCGTGTTGGGAATGAACCAAGGAAACTTTTCGGGATGGTTTATAGGGGGATTCCCTGGCGCCCTGCTGAGAACCCGCATGCGATACTCCTTTGCCTTTGACCATGTCAGTCGTCTGTTTTTCTGTCGAAAAAAAACTGACAGTCTACGATTCATTTGGGGCCGACATGGCACTAGCCCTTGTTGGCCGCACAAAATGGGAGACGGGGAGGGGGGAAGGAATAGAGACGAACTTGTTTCCCCGCAAAAAAAACTCCGACCCTTTAAACACTTTTAACAGTGCAACCATCCTCATTAAGGGCGTGCAAGTTGAACCCTAAGCTTGGTGTTTAACCAGGTGAAAATATGAACTGGGTGCACGCTTTGAACGAAACAAATAACAACAAATAATTTATGTGGAAATTGAATGACATTGAAACACAGTGAAATTGAACAAATGACCATCTGTGGTGTTTGAAGCGGTGATCCCCCGATTGAAGCACAACGGAACCAAACCCCAAGCCGGTAATGCCTAAAACAAATGCCGAAAAACAAACAACAACATGCTTACCCACTTCCCCCCGCGTGGGTTGGTCTGCAAGGTGGGTGGGGGCAATACAACGCGCCGATGAACATCATGCATACACCATACTCCAGAGGTGAACATTCCTCTAAAGCGTGCTTCTGATCTGCCAAAATGGATGGTGGGAGGCAGTGCAGCGACTCGTAGCAAGAACCCTGCAAACTATCCCCTCGCAAAAGAAGTTCATAAGCTGCATTCAGGCCAAAATGAGGGTGGCATGCAGGGGTCTTTGGGTGGTTTGCAGGGTCTTCGTGTACATAGTGTGACTTGGCCTGAAACGTCAATGCTTTGCATGTTCTCGCTGGAGCTACGAAGACCCCGCCCTGATTGTTTGCTACATGCATTTGACCTATGTTGAAAAAAAGGGCTAGCCAAACTACCAGGCGCTTTTCTGAAGGCTTCAAACCATGGACAACACGTCAATTTTCGACACAAGCTGTCTCACCCAAAGGAAGAAGTGCAAATCAAAGAGACAAGGGAACAATCAACAAATACTAAGGGAACAAGCAATATAGACAAAAACAAACCTTAGGGAACGACAAACAACCAAAGAGCGCACCCCTGTCAATGTAAATTAGACTTGGCCAATAGAAGCGCCTCAAAAGGCCGAAGCGGGTCCCTTTGGAAGCCCTTTTAAAGGTTCTTGTTGGGGAGTGGCCAAATGAACCAAACCATCCAATGTATTTTTGTTTAAAATATATGCATACCATAACAAGGGCGGAGTCCAATACTGAACGAAGACACATCGAACACCACCCGAAGGAAACTTCAACTTGGCCTTCCCAACATGTGATTTTGAAACCCTTTCCAAAAGCAGCTAAAACAATCCCCAAAGAAGCAGCAGTCTGTTCCAGGGCTGTTAAAACCAAACAATTTGCGGCTGGGATCCCCAAAACGTTTCAGGCATTCCACACATCCAGCCTGGGCCATATCCAGGATACACTGGGCGCGGTTCGAGAGGCAGTCCGCCAGAAGCTGCTCCTGAGAAACACCCCACAAGCTGCGACGCAGCGACATGGCTGAGGATCGCCCCTGCCCCCATCGGCCGAAGGAAACAAGGCCACTCGTCTCTTGTTGTAGCTGATGTTCAAGGGAAACTTATCCAACAAAAAGGAAAGAAAAAGCAGGAACCACTGGAGGTGGGGGATTATATGTCTGCGAGTTTTAGGTGGACCCTTTGGTGGACAAAAGTTAGTGGCTAGATTTATGTCCACCGACCACTTTGGAGGTGGTTCTTTATTGAAATTCATAGCCATATAGGAATGTGTTTTTTTGCGCGCTGCTCACATGTCACATGAGGTGAATTTCTCGTGGATCCATGTCCATGTTTCGACATCCTCCAAGTCAGCCAAGGTGGCTTCAAGATCACCTTGGTTGGTCTTCAGGAAAACTACCAGCTCCCACAAGTAATCTTGAGAATCCTCAACTTGTTCCCTTCAAGGAACCGCATAGTACCAGCCTGAAACGGAAAAAAGGGGGACCCCTTTTTTAAGTCGCGGTTCCTTTCAATAGAAAGGCCTCAGGGCATCCATGCCCCTACCAGTCTGCAGTAGGATGATTGGACCATGTAGGCGCTTTAGGCATGTTGGCCTAACTAGTTGAGATTGAGTTAAACCCCTAGTTGGGATGAATTGGTGGGTTGCATGCGAAAAACCCCTTGAGGGAATCCGTTCCCTTCTGAGTCGAAAATTTTCATTTCTCTCCTACGCCAACAGCATGGGCCATCTACTCTCCAAGCTCATGTTTGGTGCACAGGCCCCTTCTGGAAAACCACCTTGTCAACCATTTTGGCCAAACATAACAATTCCCGCGAAAGACACCTCACATCATAACAGGCTCAGCCCAAAACCATGGTAGGAGTTTGGGCCCTGTAACCGTCCATAAACAAACCTGGGTGTTGTTGCACAGACCCCTTTGCAAGACCACCAGTTCTCTGTTGGAAGAACTTCCTGTCTTGTGCACTTCCATTTTAGTGCAACTTCAAAGGAGTATGAACTCGCCCATTTCAGAACCGGCTAGCTACCCTAGGAAACAGCAGCGCTTGAGAGAAACAACAAGGTTTCAAGTCAGCATGAACCTTCCAATTTGTGGTTACACTCCCGCCAGGGTGTCCCTCGAGGCAAGAGGTATCAACCCTCCAGTCAAGTTCCATGTTGGTGCATGACTGGGTACCCTCTGTGATATCAATGTGGTGCGATTCCAATGCCCACAACTACATATTCACTTTACGAAATGGTGGATCCTGTTTTGGTATTCAAATCGAAACTCAAAGGAAACCAACCATTTTGGCGCCGACTCATATGTTGAAAACCCCCCCATGGAACCCCCTCATGTCTGGCAACGCCCATTTCGGGACTTCCTCGTGCTGCTGCCCTGAGACCGACCTGACGGCTTGCATGCGCTTGCGTCAGGCGGACTCGTCGGTCGAAAGCAAGGAACAAATAGGCTAGCATACTCAAACAACAGGTAAAGTTGGCACACATGCATACGTTTCCCAGGAAATGGGGCCACCATTCACTATGAATCATTTGCAAGCAGGAAATCAGGGCCTAAGGGAACCCCCCAAAGGACGTTCATGATGAGTGTTTTCCTCTTGCCCCGATGTGAGCTCCTTCTAAATTGTCCAACTATGGAACCCCAAAGTCGGTGATTCCCCCTGGTTCCCGATTGGTCCCAACCAAACAGAATTACCAAATGGGTAACATCCGTGGTTGGGGTCCTGCCCCGCCATGCTGATGGTTTGCATGTGGTAGTACGGCACAACGCTCATCTGCCCCCCCTGACGTGTTCAAATAGCACGCCTTTCCAGCCAAGTGTTTCTCAACGATCTAGCTTTATTTTAGAAAACAGGCACCCGGAAACCCACAGAAGAGAGCTCTGCGGTCAGCAAAACCCACCATGATCAAAACTCAACAAGCAAGCTAAACTCATGCCAAGGTACGGTGAAGCTTAGTGTGGCGTACTCGGGCCATTTGTTTTAGGCCCAACAAATGCGTTGGTTTTGAAAGTTATCGGAGTCTTGGAGTTGGAGTTCCCCTGTGAAAAAGCTTTGTGGTGGTGTCACAGCACAGCGACCCCACAGACCACTCCAAAAAGGAGGACGCCGGCTGAGTCCCTAATTGAGCGTTTCTCAGAACGGTGGACCCTTTTTGGTATTCGAAGGAACATGTGTAACACTGCAACACCAAAAGGCATCCGGGCATGGGGGACCGCTTCCTCCCAGAGAAGTAGATGGCCCGATTCCTTCATGTTGGTGTCATCCTTTCTACTTGCCACATTTACCTGGAATCGTGCAAGCTACTTCCATCCTGGTGTGCCCGAACTGCAACAAGAGGGACCAAGAGACCCTATGGGCGACCGCAAGCTCCTAAGTTGCAACCAGTGATACGTTCGGTGGCAAAGGGCACCCTGTTTGGTTGGTGGGTTCCATGGTTAGCGAGTCCCGCTAAGTAGCCAAAGAGAAAGGACAGGGTGTCATTGTCCGCAAGTGGGACATGCTGCGCATCCGCACAGAACAATGCGAACATCGGCAACTATCACTCATTCCTCTTTGGTGTCCTCTTTGCGGACTTAAATACTACGGGCTATGTGGCTCCCAGCCTGCAAACAAAAAGAGAAAAAGGGTTGCATGAAGCAACTAGACCGCAGGATTGTTGTGGCAAACCCCACTTTGCGTGATACCGTGCCTTGGTATCATAGGAGTTGGCCCTAAAATCAATTTTCCGCAAGCATGCTTGTACTCTCAGACCAGCGGATTCGTTGGGAACAAAAACAAGCACCCTTCCTTTTGCATTTGATTTATCCCCCTGCACCAAAAACGGGGGGGAGTGTTCTTCCCCGAGCAACAATCGATCACCTTTTTGAATGAAAAAGCTACTGAAAAAAAAGAATCGTCCTTTTGGGGCCTTTGAGGTCACAAAGACCAGCCATGAAACCGGCACAACATGTCTCTGACCAATCTCCCGCCTGGGTCGGCCTTGCATCGGTGGCCCCTCCACGAGCTGAATGGCCTCCCCCTGGCGCGCGAGTTGGTGCTGGGCCATTCGAGGGCGGGGTGAGGGGAGAGGGGAGCCCAAATAAGGCCTTATTCAGGGCTCAATACGTGCGAATTGGGCTCCGTCCCCCCTCCCCCCAAGCCCCTGTGACACACCTTTTCTGAAACTTGGCGTTCCTTGATAACTGTCCCCAGAACAGTGCGTACCGTGAACAAAAAGACAACCCCATGCCCGAAACAAACATGTTCCACGGAATCATAAGAAACAGGCATGGCAGGGCAACAGAAAATAATGATACCGTTTGGCGGTTGATTCCAGCCCTACGAACATGTTTTACCCTGACCATGGGAAACCAAAAGGGCACCCTTTGATTGGTCGATGTCAAACAGAAATCCCCCTCAAAGAGTTGGAAAACATCGCGCGCCGGACCTGGAGCCCACGGGCTGGAGCTTGCCTTTTGACCTCTGGCTCCATGACGGGAGGGTGGCAACCCAACCCCGATTTGCCACCATGCGTTCCCCCCTTCGTAGCTGCCGCTCGCCTGACAAAAAATACATCCATTCGCGCCAGACCCCTGCTTCCGCTGACCTGAGCAGAAAACAGAGAAATTTGAGGGAGAGACTTTCGCATCCCTCACACACCAGATCGCTTCTCAGGACCCTAAGACCACTATGTAGCCTCTGTATAGAGATGCCCCCCTCCCCGAAAAACATGAAAAGTGCACTCTGGACCGCTGTTTTCCTGGACAGGGAGGGTACCTGTGCACTCCCTTGCTTGGTCGGAGAGTTTGGGGCTTAGTAAGCCTTAAGCGGAAGTGAGGTGGAGTGCGTGATTCGGCCAATTGTTTTGCATGTCCCAACCCGGCAAGAGAAACTCCCCTTGCCCACAAAGTCGAACTGTTGGCACGTCAGCGGGAAAACACGTTTGCAAAGATTGAAGGTTCAACCGTATATCATGTCAAGCGTTGGCCCTTGCGACCAGGTGTTGTTTTAGGCCATCTTTTCCGGGGAGACATGTGCACATGCATGCTAGGGGACCCTTGGGAGTGGATCATCTACATGGAAATTGAGGTCCTTCAAGTATGTTCATCACTAATTCCTAACTAGAATTGGAACCTCAGCTATAGAGGGCAACATGAGCAACCCTGGAAAGAACAGTCAGTTCCACTAGGGATAGGCCTTTCCAATGGCGAAGCATAGACACTGAGGCGAATGAGTCATAATCGAACCTGGATTTAACGGAGTCTACCCCGAACCAAGTAGAGAAAAGGGCGCCTACCCTCCCAAAACCAAACCTGGAAGTATGCCGAGATTTGACTGTGGCTCAAATGGGTGTGTGTGTGTGTGTGTCCGTGTCTTTGTTTTTGAGGCTACCCTTTTCAGGTTGGTTGCAAGGGAAAACGAAAGGGCCCACCGCTTTGGCAAGCGCCCGTACGCAAATGACGCATGCCCCGGTCACCCAATCCCAGAGGCGTAACTTTGCCGGGCGCTCGTACGCCTCATCAGCACCGATGAGGTCGCCTCTATGAAAGGAGACCCCGGAATCCGGAGCACCATCAGCGGGTCCCTGTTGAGTGAGATTTGTGGCCGACTCAGCAGCGTTGTCAGGGGTTCATCTGACGGAACCCGAGTCTTATATAACCGGAATGTCGGATGAATACGTCACAACTTAAGCACATGTGTCGGCGAAAGTCAAGGATCTACTCTACTGTGGCCGACATTCATTACTTCCGGTCACAAAGAAGGGAAGGGCACAGCAAAGGGGAACCCTTGTTACTCATTAGTTCTGTTTGGCAGCCCATGAGAGCCTGTAAAGGACATAGCAAACAGTGAGCCCTTGCTTCTGTGTAGAGCTCCGTGCATTTAGTGTGCCACCCTGTCCCTAAGCTAGTCACGAACTGATTATTTGGACCGAACCTCACGTCAGAAGCCCCGTAGCCATGCAAACAAACAAAATGGACGTCCTCCTTCTTAATCTTCCAATCTTCTCAAAGTGGTCCCCCCCCCCAAAAAAAAAACGAGTCAGGAAGCAACCCACTTAAAAGAAACAGCCGCTTGCCATGCATCTCAGAAAACGCGCCTCGCTTGTAGGACTCCATGGCATCCTCCCGCCGCGCCATGGCGAGTTTGATCCTCTGGTCCTCGGAGGGAGAAGAAACGCGTCCGGAGCCTTGGGATTTCGATTCCCCCCCCACCGCCCCCAATGGTTCAACCAGGCGCAATTCTCTATATGGCAGCAAAAGGGATGACTAAACGTGAGGGAACTGTGCCGTATACGTTCACCCAACAGGAAGAACAGTTCATGAGGCCCAAGCTCATGTTGCCCCTCAACCGGTCGGCTCGTTATTTGCGCAGACTGGTTCTGACTTCTGACATCCAAGCGAACTAGCCACCTTCCTCACAAGCCAGCCGCTGCCTTCCAGCGGCGACAAACACCACTCTGAATGCAGCGGAATATAATTTGGCCCTTTGGCCACATTAGCAACAATGGTCTTGTCCCTTTCAGTTGTTTGGATTATTGCACATTGAAGGGCAATAAAAGCCTCCAGAAAAGGACGCCCCTTCTTGAAGGCTGGTTGATTTCCATGGGCACTCACCAGAAACAAGAACAAAAAGCAATGGGTGTACGGGGCTGCAGGGCAGCTGGGCCTTTCCCAGAACCATGCCATTCGAACGGGCCCACAGCTATGGGATGGCCCGCAGCAAATGCAAACTTTCACCGTACGTCGCTCTTGCCACCGCCCTCATTTTTGGTCCGTCCCTTTTTGAGCGGATTGACGGTAAGCCGCAGCCTCCTAGTTCTTGTGTTTTTTGAGAGTAGCGATTTGAAATCGACGTCGCCTGAGGTCACCCCCGACTCTCCGACTCTCCGACTCTCCGACTCTCAACTCGGGCCGCAGCATGTGCTCGCATGGGCGAATCGGGGCGGTTTGGCCCCGATTCAAAGGACCACCGCAGGTCAGCAAAAAGTGTTGGGGTTTGCTTCCACATATGTTCGCAAGGTTTGCAAAACATCGTGAAACCTCCCTACTTGCAATCAACTATGAACAAAACCATTTGCATTTCAGGGAGCTTCTGCCTGTGTGGGTTCCTTGCCCTTGGACCCTCAAGGTGCCTGTAGTTCAACCAAGCGTGGCAGTCAACAAGTAGGCCTTTGGACCCAAGGGCGTTCCAATGATACACCCCACAGTGCCACAGGGGAAAAACATGGCACGACTAACTTGGACAAAAACGACAACTATAATATGATCTAACAAGCTACCTGGGCACGATTGGTTCTTGAGGACCTTTTGGTGGACATCACTTTCCAGGGAGTTCATGTTCGCCACCCAGTCTGGTGCTTCCAGCGCGGGCTGCGCTTTATAATGCTTGAGCCACGCAGTCACAATAACAGTGCGAGTCTCGGGCGACTGGGAAGAACCGAACTGAAGGGCATAGAACGAGCTCTCCGACGGCCTCATTGGCCGTGTCCTTCCTAGGAGAATGGTCTACACCCGGCAGCTGCGCATCTCATGGTAGTGGGAAGAAGTATACCATTTACCCATAGGCTTCAAAAGCTTGGTAAAACATCTGAGGTGATTAACCCTTTCGCCCAAAGTCTTGGAACACCCCCTCACAGTTCGAACCTATGCTCCCCCTGCAAATTCGTGGAAGGAACTCAACGAGGGGCGTCCTTTCCCCAGAAGCATTCCTTTAAACAGAAAGGATGGGGTGCTTGCGCATGGAGAGTAAAGCCTAAAGCTCGACCCCTTGAGACTCAATGACAGCTGACTCCTCAAAACGGCGACACAACTTTCAGGTGGGCTGTTCCAGGAAAACCAACTCTTTAGCGGCCCGACTGATCCAGAGTCACTATCCAGTGTCATTTCCCGGAAAGGACACGGCGCTCCACACAGCAACGTACCGCATATCTGATATATATATAAAAAGGAAGCCCCACCGGAGCCATGCCATCTGAGAGAGCAAACCTAAGGGGATGAAACAAATATCAACCTGAGTCTACCCAATTGTCCCACGGTAATGACTGCCTTTGGCTGTGTATCCCATGCTCCCAGCCTAGCTGTGTAGCCCCTTACAGTATAATAGTTCTGGCTGAACTGATGCAAAGCCTGTCACAAATGCGGCCTTGCCCAAAACGGAAAGTCGGCCAAAAGCAGACATTGCTAGGCTGGAATTAGGACCCCAGCAAAAAAATAAGTGGAAAACAAAGCAAACCCCAAAACAGCAACAAAGAAAAAAAACAAAAAGAAAAAAGAGGGAACTAATTCGGGGGAAGATTGGAGGAACCCACTGCCACTGCCACATGGTGACCGTGGGCTTCCCATCTGAAAGAACATGTGTCTTAAAATAGGGGGGAACCTGCAGAATTGTGGTTGTGCGTTCGGTTCCCCTTTAATGTGTACCCCAGAATTACTAACCCTTGCTTGATTCATAGGGGGGTGTCCCGGTCAAGGGCATCCTTCATTCAGATTTGTGGGTGACCCCCCTCCCCCCTATATAAGAGCAGGATGGCTATATTAATCCGGGGTTCTCATTGCCCTCCTAAATAGGACAGCCCCATTTCAGAATCATAAGGTTGGGTCCGTGTGGCGAGTCAACCGACGACCTGCCTTCTGCGGCTGGTTCAAGCTGTCCAAGCAGATTCGGACCACGCTGTCCAAGTCTCGAGCCCTCTCGTACCTGGCAAGAAGCCACCTTGGCGTCCGTTCAACCCATGAACCTTATTTAGCATGGCTACAAAGGATTGTTTTGGGGATCAACCAAACCCAAACTATTGTGGTGGCCTCGTAGAACCACGTACTCGGCCCATTTACTTTCTGTTCTACCATGATACAGGATTTGAGAGTAGATTGCAGAATTCAATCCCTTCATTAAGGGTGCACTCATCTTTTTTACATCACATAACGCAAATTGTGCCATCTACTTTCATCCAACTGTACCTTGGCCTCAAACAAATCCCAATTGAATCAGGCAATAGAACCTACTCAACTGGCCAAGGGTTTTGGGCGCTCATTTGAAGGCCCTCCAGGGTCGAGGCAACCCTCGTAATATGTTCAAACAGCCACAGTGCGGTTTGAACTTGCTCCAAAACTTGGCTTTCGTTTGAAAGAGAATCGTGGTTTCAACACATATTGCCCAAGATCGCTGCCCTGTATCCAATCATGGAAGCTGACACGAGGGTGCTGAAAGCTTACTCTCCTTTCGGAGAAGCCTCTTGTGAGTGAAGGAAAAAGGGCGGAAGCAAAAGGCTTTAAAAGGATATTTCCCCAACAACCAACGACCCTTCCGGCAGAAACAGGGAAAACATGCTTTTTGTCGACCAGTTTGGAGGGGAACCCACTAAACAAACAGGCTTTAATGACACTCCAGATTCCACGAGTAACCCCCCTCAAATCCATTCTTGGGGATGCAAAAGCAACCTGGCATAAAACCAGTCATTTGGCGGGGTCTCCAGAGTTGAAACATTCACATTGCCATCTTGAAATGTGGCACATGTCCCACTCGCGAATGCTGCCACACCATGAAGGAAGATTCATACGTAGTCAGAACTTGCTCTTGCTCAGGGACAAGTACAGGGTCCCCCAATTCCATTTCTTGCCTCCCACAGCAGGGAAGGTGATACCACAAGTGGAAATTTTAGGGGACACTTTCCCAAATCCGATTTTGCCCGAACCAACACCCGCACCCCGACACCCCGACGCGCTCGCCCACCCGCCCAAAAACCGCACACCCACACCAACACGCACAGACACAGACACAAACACAGAGACAAACACAAACAAAAACAACAACAAAAAACACGCACACACAAACAAACACACACACAAACGCAAAGACACAAATACATAAACAGACACAAACACACACACACACAGGCACAAACACAGACACACAAGCACTGACAGGGACACAGACACAAACCCAAACACAGACACAAACACACTCACACACAAACACAAGCACGCAAGCACAGGAGCACACACAAGCAAGCAAGCAAGCAAGCAAGCAAGCAAGCAAGCAAGCAAGCAAGCAAGCAATCAGTCAATCAATGCATCAATGAATCAATGAATCCATGAATCAATGAATCCATGAATCAATCAACCAATCAACCAATCAACCAATCAACTAATCAACCAATCAACCAATCAACCAATCAAACAAACAAACAAACAAACAAACAATCAAACAAACAAACACACAAACAAACACACAAACAAACAGAGCAAGCAAGCACGCAAGCAAACAAACACACAAACAAACAAGCAAATAAATACACAAATAAACAATCACACACACAAACACATGCCAGTGCCATCACTCAAGTACATGCCAGGCTTCACGCGATCAATGCGTCCTGGTAAGCGCCACGCGACCTTGGGCGAGTTCGGGTGGAGCAGCTGACCAGACTAGGCAGCACACAGGAGAGCTACTCCAAATGTTTACCCTGGAGTAATCAACATCTCGGATTATATAACAGGCTAGGTCCTCCCGCGGAATAAGGGTACCCTTTTTCTGTAGTCTATTTTGGTAGGCCCAAAAAGTGAAGGAGCACCTCCAAAGTTGGACACCCCCTATTCAGAAACCAGGGGCTTGTTCAGCCCGGGTTGCTCCGATTGCTTCAGCTTCAGAACCAACCAGATCCTGAATTCTACACCAGAAACCAATCTGGACCCAGTTTCACTGATGTTGAAGGTTCGGGCTTGGTGTTCTGATTTTGTGGAGAACCAGCCAGTCAAATTTGATTCACTTTGGTCAACTGAGTTTCCCAAACCTATCAAAACGGCAAAGACGAGGGATCCACAAACGGATACAAGTTGGTTCATGTTCAAAGAACGCAGCTGCGAAAGAGGCTTGGATTCTTCATCCACTTGACCAGAGCAGTGGTGCCCTCTGCAAGTCTGTCGATTCCCTTTGCCCGTCACATGCCCAGTTCTCTGGCCATGGGAAAAGGGGGCGCCATTCTTGTTGGTACAGTTGGGTGAAAGTAGATTGCACAATTGCTCAGTCAGGCTGGGTCGTTGATGAGACTGCCCTAACCCCAAAGGGCTTGTCGTGTGCTTATTGAACAATAATGGGAGTGGGACAACCTCAAGAGGCTTTTCTATCATCTTCCCGAAACGCTAAGGTTGTTTTTGGTTGAATCAAAGAACAGCATGGCATAGTTTCCCCCGTGGCATAGTCAAACAAGGGTTGTCCGAAAAAGGGGGGTGTCTTTGTGTTGCACCCTTTTGCAATCTCCCTTTGACAGGGAAAGATCAAGAGCGCCCTTTTGGCCAGAATTTCACCTGTGCCCTTTTGAACCCTCCAAATCACAGAGCCTAGCCCCGCCAAAAGCTTCAGCTTATTGGCACCCTTGAACTCCTGGGAAGTCGGTGGATGGGTCATCCGTAGGCCAGGGGGAAACAAAAGCACCTTTCGTTGGCAATTGCTTAATTTCAAGGAACCCCTCTGCAAAAAACACGGATCCCTCACAAAAGGCTGCGACCCCCGTGACCCTGTTGTTTTTTTGTGGGTCTTCGTCTCCGAGATCAACGGATATGAGTTTGGCTCCTCAGCCCCCGGCTCCTTGGCCTTCGCGAATTGCAGATGCAGCTTCGGCGTGGAGATCTGGGCATCGGAGCCCGCGGCGGCTTGTTTCGACGCCACTCCGACTTCAGAGCTTGATGGGTGGAGGGGCTTTTGGTTGATGGGCTTGGGGAATGAACTGGAACCCCCCCCCAAAAAAAACAATACTTCCATTTGGTTAAGACCCCTGGGGGAACAAACACATATTTTACGTAGTGATAGATTACCTTTAAAACCAACAGAGGAAAATGAACAGGACAATAACAAATATTCTCAAGCAATTGGAAGGATACTTCCTAGGGCTCATTCCCCGAAAATGCCCCGCTGATGACCAGCAAGCCAAACATATTCTGCCTTTGGACACCAAGTTTGGGCGGATGTGGAGTGGGTCAT